GGCGGGCACCATGAATGCTCAAACTCCAAAAACAGTTAGCATTATTGCGGCGAGTTGTGGGAATCAAGGGTCTTCGACAGGCTTGCAAATGCTGCCAAGCGGTTCTTTCGCGCGCGCATGCCGAAATCATAATCCTTCGAACGCTTTTTGCGCGCTTGTTGGGGGGGGGTACGACTGCGGTCAAATAGTATCATGCGGGTCACTCGCCCGAGTCGGCCGCGCGCGCGTGCCAAAATCCTTCCAAAACGTTCATCAACGACACGCTGATACCATCATCCACATCGAGGCGGCCAGCATCGAAGCGGTCATTGACCTTGCCACCAGTATCGCCGTCATCGCCGCCATTATCGAGCCACTTGCAACAGATGTAACAACATCCACACGCGCGCGTCGTCGCGCGCGCGGATGCCGAAATCTTTCAACAATCGAATATTCTGTAAGTAGCTCAAGACTGGGCGTCCCGGAAGCACAAAAAATGGTTTGACAACATGATGTTTCAAATAATCTGCGCGTGCGCTCTTGCGGATTCGCATGAGAACCATAGCTTCTTCAACAAGTTTATCAAATTTGATCACAACGGCACCCTCGCGCGCACATGTCGGAATCATTCGAATGCCCTTGCGCGCGTGCTGGGGGGGGAGCACGATCACACGATCCTTCCCAAATGATATCATGCGGTCCTGTCGGGCCCGTCGGCCGCGCGCGCATATCGAAATCCTTCCCCGACCTTCATCACCATCACCTACACGCGGGCACCATCATCATAACAGGCGTGATCAGCATCCTCGCAACCATTGGCATGGCAATCGTCATCGTCATCTTCGTCGCCATGCTACCGCTTCCGCCCGAGTCACTGACCTGCACAGAAGTGCCCGCGCGTCAGCGCGGCCTGTGAGACGCGCTGGGAAGTCCGCAACGGTAAGCGCCACCACGGCCACGGCGGTCGCGCCAGACTCGCTGGCCGCTTTGCGCGCGAGCTTGCGCGCGCTGGCGCGGCCACAGAGATGTGCCAGCGAGTGCCAAGCGGTCATCGCAATCGCCGCCGCATCGGTTTGGCAAACCATGTTGCAGGTGGGTGGGTGGGATGATTGCGCAAGCAGTTGAGCTGAAAATGTCAAGTTCGGCAGGGTGAAATGCCCCACAGACATTGCACAACATAGGTTGCTCCACGTAGATTGCACAACATGTGTTGCACCGTATATTGCACCCCATAGCTTGCCACACGTAGATTGTACAGCTTATATAGCTCCAGATAGAGTGCGCAGTATTAAGTGCTGGAAGAACACTTCTTGAGGTCCACGCTGGCCAACATACATACATACATAATTTCTATCTGTGTACAAATTACACTGCCAATGTCTTATCGAATCTTGCCTCGGATGGTCGCGGACGGTCGGTCGGTCGGCTGGTCGGTCGTCGTCAGGCGTGGGTCGTCGTCGGTCCGCCAGGCAGCCGGTCGTCGTCGTGGGTTGGTCAGTCTGTCGGCCAGCCGGTCGGTCGGTCGTCGTTGTCGTCGGTCGGAGGGGTGGTCGATCAATCGATCGTTGTCGTCGGTCGGCCGGCGACTCGGCGATTCGGTCAGTCGATTGGTCGGTTGGTCGGGCGGTGCTCGTCGTTGTCGGTCGTTTTTGGTTGTCGTCGACGTCGTGGGCCATTTCGGGGCCCTGTTGAGCTGTCGTGGGGTTCTCTCGAGCCGTCTTGGTGCCATGCTGGAGGTTTTGGACCGTCTTGGGGCCCTCGTCGGGCGATCTTGGGCCGGCCCTCTTGGGGTCCTGCTGGCCTTCTGCTGGAACTTTTTTGGGGGCCTGTTGGGCCTTTCTTGGGCCGTCATGGGGTGCTCTTAAGCTGTTGTTTGGTTTTCATGGGCCGTCTGGAAATTTGTTGGGAGCCTCCTGGGTAGACATGGGGCGGTCTCGGAAAATTTCAATGCCGCCCAGGGCAGGTCGTGGCCCGGCAAGGCAAAAAACCCAAAGTCTTTCAAACATTGAAAAACAATATATGATTTGGGCTTCGAAGGGCCCTCTTGAAAGTCCTGTAGGGCAATTTCTTGTGCCGGCAAGGCAGTCTTCGACCCGTCGCAGGCTGTCTTAAGACTCCCCCGAGGCCGTCGTGAACCGTTTTTGGGCCCACCTGCGCATCGCGGGCAACTTGCTGACCGCCTCTAGCCCAGTTGAAACCCTGGGCCGAAGAGTCGAGGATATACGGCATGCTCGTGTCGTGTCGACCCCGGCGTTGGTTCCTCACACCGTGGGGATCGCTCAATCTTGAACGATCGGCCGTTTCCGAACATTCAGATCGTTCAGTATCTTCTGATTCTGGGTCGCGGGCGGCGTTCAACGTTGAACGCCCGCGGCAGGAACGCCGCTGGCCGACACGAAGCGCACCTGCTGCACGGAAGCTCCAGACTTGGCGGCTTGGGAGGCTACTTTCGGCGTCCGAGAGGTGCAGTGGCCGTGGCGAAGTCCACGGGTGGAGGGGCATCCCCGCCATGTTCGTATGGGAGACGGGAAGCATACATACAGTCAAGCTGCTGCCACAAGAAGCGCTCGACAAGGACCGAAGCCCCCTCTTTGGCCCCAGAAGCGCCTGCGTGGACGAGGGGCGCTAGAGAAGCAGCCATGGAAGGAACAAAGGAGCATCGAGCTCCTTCCGAACCTACACGGTTCCCGATGCCAGCGTCTTGACTGTGTAACATACACAATGTTTATGGTGTTTGCTTTCTCCGTACCTCTCACACTGCAATACTAGGTACACGAGTGGCACGTGCATGTCCAGGCTTAGAAAGGTAAGGCTGGCTCACCGATAGGGTTGCTGTAGCTTGCGATGTTGGCCGACATGTTGAGACTCGAGACGAACCCAGTTTGGGCATCGCGAACAACAAAGGTTAGGGAAGCGTTGAAGAACCAGGCTGGAAGACATAGACAAATCACTGCTGTGCCTAACGTTTAGGTGCGCAGCCATTGGATGTCACAGCGCTTTCAAAGTTTAACGTCGGACGCTGGAGGACTACACAGGACGTCATTACTGAGCGAAACTTTAGCGATCAATTATGTCAAAGTGCACTAGTGACCATTGTGTGCTTCAAAGAATTCGACTAACATGGTCGAGATCCCGTGGGTGTTTGGACCGTGACGTCGCGATCTGCCTGAGGGGCGCGTCCAAGTTTCAAAATATGGAGGATGCCGAGCGAAACGCCCAGGCAACTCGTGGCCGACACAATAGTCGCTTCTGAGCCCTACTCTCTGGGAGGAGTGCGCATGAGAAGATATAGAGCTAAGTGTTTCTACATCGCGTGCTTATCTGTCTCTCTCTCTCTCTCTCGCTCTCCCTCTCCCATCGCACACGCACACACTCCCTCTCTCTCGCTCGCGCTCTCTCTCTCTCTCGCGCTCTCTCTCTCTCTCTCTCGCTCGTTTGTGTGTTCTCTCTCTCTCTCTCTCTCTCTCCTCCCCCCTTTCTCTGCAACTGCAGTGCTACTGCCCTCGATATGCCAACGCCATGCTCTCATTTACCCGCCCCCCCGTGTGTATGTGCGCTTCGCCTGTCGGGACCACGGGATGTGCAAATGCACCCGCCTCCTTTTGCCTCCTACATCCGCTTCTCAGCTCGCGACGCCTTCGGCCGCTCCGAGGGGCGCTCTCGCCTCGGCGCCTGCCGCCCTGCAGCTACTCACTATGAACACTGCTCCCCCCTCGCCACATCACGACGTGCTCCGCCTCCGTCTCCGCCCGCCTGGTCAACCTGCTCCTAATTCTGTCCAAGCCCATGAGCATGCTTCATACTTGTGCAAATGCTCCTCGTCCTCCTGACCCGCCCTGAGCTCCTCCTGCTACCCCCTCCCCCGCCATCCCGTTCCTCTTCACTCTCCTCCTCCTCCTCCTCCTCCTCCTCCTCATCCTTATTCCTTCCTCATTCCTCACGTTCGCCATCGTCCTCCACCTCCTCCTCCTCCTCCTCCTCCTCCACGTTCTCCTTCTCATCCTCGACCTCCTCCGCCTCCCCCTCTTCCGCCGACCCGCCCTCCGCGTTCATGCTTCTTCTCCTCAACCCTCAAGCCTACTGCCTTGCAACATCGACTTCGTAGTGGTCGGACCTCCTCTCGTCACTGCTCCAGCCCCCCTCGACGTCTGGATGTGTGGGCAACGCGTAGGAGGGATCCAGAGCACGAGCGACCTCGCGTGCGCGGCTCTAAAGGGGCAAATCCAGGCGGCGAGGACCCCCAGTTCGGCGGAGGCATGGAAGAATGAACCAGCCCAGGGGCGGGTGCTGCAGGTACAGTCAACCCGCATATTGAGGATGAGCGACTTTCCACGGTTACCCGTGCATCCTTCCCCGTCGGTTCGTCCTTGGCCGCTATCGCTGGCCAGCCTCTTTCGAGAAACGTCAACATTGCCCTCCAAGGCCCTTGCATCCTTACCACGCATCCTTCTTATTCGGGTTGACTGTGTTGTGTTCGCTGGGGAGCCTCGTCGTATACACGGGTGATCGGAGCCCCTGGAACTACCCAGGTGTTGCTCTCCCCCTGCGGGCTGTCCGCCCCCTTACTGCCGCCGCCAGCCAGCGTGAGCCCGCACCACAGGTCAGGCTGGACAAGGGCAATCCTCACCAAGGGCGCCTGACGTCGCGCTTCGCGCCGCGCAAAGCGCGACGCGCGAATAATTTCGCGCTCTCGCGACGCCCCCGCAGGGGAGAAGAAGAGGACGAGGAGGAATCGGAGCCGAATCGCGAAGCGCGAATAACTTCGCGCCCTCGAAAGCGCCCTTGCAAAGAGGGACCTAAGAGGGGGAGCACGAACGGACACTTCGAGCCTTCGACCCCAAGATGTCCCCAAGAGGACCCCAGAGGCTCTCGAGGCCCCCCTCCAAGATGCCCCTAAGAGGCCCCCAAGACGCCTCTGGAGGCCCTCAAAAGGCACCCAGAAGCACGGCTGAACGTGGCATCCGAGCCGACCTAGTCTGGAGTCTGCCAGGGGAGCGGCAACGGCGGCGCGCGCTGGGGGCCTGCTCCTTGCGCTTGCGCCACCTCGCCAGCCCGGCCTCGAACCCGTCGTGGCACACGGCGGAGAGGTCCACGCCGAGGGCTGTGGGGGAACAGTAGTTGCCGGCAGGCAGGGTCAGCGTTAGATTACCAGGAGCTCCTGCTGGTCCTCGCCCTCCTCGTCGTCGTCCTCCTCCTCCTCCTCCTCCTCCTCCTCCTCCTCCTCCTCCTCCTCTCCTCTATGAACGGGCGGGGGCCTCGTCGTCACGACGACTGGCTGCACCACGAGATCCTGGCCAGACCGCGTGTCCAGAGAGGTCTGAGGGTTTGCTGAGATTCGGGGAGCACGCGCGGCCCGATTCGCGTGCGGCGCGCGCGGAGGCCAAGCCAGAGCGGGACTCGAGCGGGGACGTGAAGGGGGAGGGAGGAGGTGGAGGAGTAGCGTCACGAAGGGGACACGTGATGTGGAGCTCCTCTTTCCTCACCTTCCTTTTCTCCTGCCTCGTCGGCATCCTTCTCCTCATCTCTGGGTTTCCTCCTCCTGCCTTACAGTGGCTCCTCTTTCTCCAACTGCCTCTCTCCCCCTCTTACCGCTCATCCCTCTTCCTCGAGAGATGCTCCCCCGACACGTGATGCCGGAAACCGCAGTGAGAGCATCTGCCCTCCACGGGTCCAACGGGAGCACGCGAGACGTGCAGCCAGCCACCGGAGAAACAGCGCAATGGAGGGGTGCGGGACCCTCGGGCCTCTGGTGCGTACCCGTTGGAGCTAGCGAACAGAACTTGGACAGGAGTGGGCTGGTCAGGGGCGGGCCAGGGAGAGCAGCCCGGGTCACGTGGGGGATGCTTGCTCCGGCGGATGCTTGCGACAATCGGCAGCTCGCGGCGCGGGGAGGGCAGGAGCGCGGGCCATAGAGTGACAGGGCGGCGTTCCACTTCAGGCAGTCCGCGCTCTGCGAGAGCAGCCTGGACACCTTGCCGCGCGCGCCCTCCCGACATCCGGGCAAGGGGTGGCATCTGGAATGGCAGAGATGACGAACACATGCGTCCAGACGCCGCCAAACAACACGGCGGTCAAGCAGCGACAGGCAGCGAAAACCTGGTTCCGGGGATGGGGTCGAGAGCTCTGTAGGGGCCCTCGGCGTCAACGAAGCACGACGTCAACGGTCTGGGGAGGAGGGAGGACGAGCACCACTGGGGCAGGTGACGACTCGCCGCGAACACAGAAAAGCGGCTGCTCTTTTCAATAATGATGGAGACCAGCGCGTCTCACTATGTCCCACTGAAATGCAGCGCTCAACAAAGTGAAACAAAAGAAGCACGCCATGTGGCCAACTCGGACCAAACCAACCTACTGTGGGCCTTGCAGGTGCTGCGACCCACGAACTGGAGAAAGCTTATAACTTGGCTGAGGGCGCCGCGCCGTGTATCGCGAGAGGCCCAACGGCCAGCGATATCACACTCGGGAGGTGAACCCCAATGGCGAAGAGAATGCTAGACAAAGGGGCAGAGGGAGCACTAGTCGTGCTGATCCGTAACTTATATGTAATCGGCCTGCTATAGGTTCAACTATCGATGCGAATTCACCTGTAACCCGTCACCGTGCCGCCAAGCTCTGTGTGGCGCGTCTTCAGGTCCCTTCGATGTCGTTGAGAGACTGCAGGCGCTAGATTATCTGAATAGTCGGGCGCTCGTGGGCGCCTTTAGGCGCTTCGGGGGGGCTCTCGCGTGACTTCCCTTAGTCTCTGGAGAAGGCCCCAAAAGGCCGTCCTGCAAATCGTTTCGGCGCTTTTTGGACCATCTCGGAGTCGGGCCCAAGAAAAATCTGTCGGACGTAAGCAATCCCCGATTCTCAATCTAGAGAGCGCACAGCACTGCTAACCAAACCCCCACCATCGCCCCAAGACTGCCGACGAGGCTCCCAGCATGGCACAGGAAACTTTCCAGACATCGTCCAAAGGGGCACATGAGAGGGAACACGAACTGACATTCCCCAAGCTGGCCCCCGAGACCGCCAGCAGGGTCCCAAGAGGCTCCCAGTAGGCCCCCAGAGGCCTCCAAGAGGCCCCACGCGGCCCCTAACAAGTCTCCAAGAGGCCTCCGATCTACGACCCAAACATGGTGGCGGGCGGGATGGGCCGAAGACCACTAAATGAAAAACGATAGAAACAGAACGAGTGAGGGAGGGATGAAGGATGGAAAAAGCAGGCGTGCCCTGCAAGAGCATCGGGAACGAGTTCGCGCGCGAAAACCTAATCCACGGTGGGGGGAGACACGCGCCCCAATTGCTTGGCCCGCGAAAGCTGACTTGCTTCGGGGATGGGGCGTACCAGCGCACAGCTACGACCACGCATCATCCATTTCGACTCGCGCGCACTTGTAACTCATCGCAGTTGTGCTTACCCCGTGGCCCAAGATGTCAATGATGGCCTGGTGGTCTAGCGATGTGTGTTGCCAGCGATGGCCAAGCGATGAACACTTGCACGATGCACGCGCAACTGGAAAACACATGATGTGAAATGCATTCAATGGTGTTTGTCAACTTCATAGCTCTCGCAATCATCCCACCCACTCACCCGCAGCCTGGCTCGCACAACCCATGCGGCGGCGATTGTGATGTGTTTGGTGCTGGCACGTGCATCTCTGCGGCCGCGCAAGCCCGCGCATGCGCGCACAGCGGCCAGCAAATTTGGTGCGACCGGCGCGGCCGCGGGGGCCTTGACCGCTGGGCACTTCCCAGCGCGTCTCGCAGGCCGTGCTGACGCGCGGGCACTTCAATGCGAGCTGGTGCCTTGGACGGGCGCGGCATCATGGCGATGTCGACAACGGTGCACACGATGATGATACTAATGGTGATGGTGACGCCAATAACGATGACGACGGCAGGGCCAATGACGGCGCCGATGCTGACCACGCCAATGACGATGATTATGTTTTCGCCTCGATGGTGAAGGCTTTGGAGGGATATCGACATGCGCGCGCGGCCGACGCGCGCGAGTGGTCCGCATGGTGTTATTTGTCAAGGATCGTGCCCCCCCCCCGCACACACACACAGCACGCGCGCAAGGGCGTGCGAATGTTTGTGGCATGCGCGCGCGAGAAGCCCGCTTGGTCGAAGTTGATGAGCATGTTGAAAATCCTACGGCTTCTTAAAACATCTGCAAGAACGCGCACAAACCTTCTTTTTAAAACGGATGTTACAAAACAGTGTTTTCGCAAATGTGCGGAACATTCGATTTGAGATCCTTACAAAGCCGGGAAACAAGTTATGACACAATCGACAAGACGTTCATCGTGAATGATCTGCAGACAGCAGCGCCCAAAGAGGATCATTGAGTGATATTCGCCTTTCAATGTTGGCAGCGTGCTCAGGCGTGCACCATGGGCCAGGCCATTGATGCGCCATACTTTGACTTGCGCGCCCAGTGGCAACATTGGGAGGCGGACGCCACTTAATGCCCGGGTGCTCTTCCAAGCTAATCCTTCACAGGGCCGCTGGTGCGGGCGGTTCTACACTCTGCCTTGCGGTTTCGTTCCCCCGAATCGGATGGCTAACATGCAACGCGCAATGCAAACGATACGTTTTTGTTTTTTCCCGCAACGTTGGCAAGCGGATGCCACTTGATGCGACGGGCCCCGCCTGGTCCGATTCAGAATGTTTTCGGCTCCCATCCCTGTGCCACTTTTGTTATATTTGTTTCACGGGGATGGGTAATTCTGCCTACGTATCAGGTTTCCGCGCGGCCCCCTCTCGTCTTTTAGCGTGGCGCACTGTGGGTCCTGTGGGACGTGTGAGACTTGTGCCCCTGTGGGACGTGTGAGACTTGTGCCCCTGTGGGACGTGTGAGACTTGTGCCCCTCCTTGTTAGGACCTGCGACACACCTGCGGACCTTCTGCGACCCGTGGGGCCTGTGTGACCTGTGGCGCCTGTGGGACCTGTGGGACCTGTGGGACCTGCGAAACCTGTGGGACATGCGAGACCATTGGGGCCTGTGGCACCTGTGGGACCTGTGAGGCTTGGGGGACCTGTGGGAGTGACGAAACCAGTGGGACCTTTGAGGCGTTGTCCAACGAACCGCGTTGACGATCCGATTGGGGGCGGGTTCCATCATGCAATTTCACGCGCGGGGGGCAGCTTAGGTTGCCCCGGTAAACCCACTTAACGATCGGGCGGGTGCGGGCTTTATGTATAAATTCATACACATAACGCACTTCGCGTAAAGTGGCGTGCCACGGCGCGCCCACTTTACGATTCCCCCCCCCTCCCCCCCGCGTTTGGTGCTTGAAAAAAAAGACGGGAAGCATCCATCGCAAAGTGGGAAATATGTTGTGTGTGTATATATTTATGTGTATTTATGTATGTACATTTTATATATAACTATATGAGTATATATATGTATATGATGTAGGTGTATATATATATATATCCATCGGAGGTGAGGGGGTGAGATCGAAGTGGAACGGAGAGCCCCCCTACCGGGAGATCGGTTTCGGTTTGGTGTTCGTGCGTGCCATGCGTGCGGGCGAGGCGAAGCTGCGTGGGCGGGCGAAAAATGTCCCGCCGTTGGCTGAGGCGCGGCCGGACCAAAAGTCTCCCTTCTGGGAACCGGTGCCGCGCGGTGTCCCGCCGGTGTCCCGTCGGACACCCGATGATGATGACGATGATGGTGAAGATGCTGATGATGGTGATGCTGATGACCATGGTGGTAATGATGATGGTGACCCGATGATGATGATGATGATGATGATGTTGATGATGTTGATGTTGCTGCAGCTGATGATGGTGTCCCGATGATGATGACGATGTGGGTGATCCCGATAATGTTGGTGATGATGGGATTATGAGATGGTGAGGATGATGATGAAGATGAGAATGATGGTGTCCCAATAACGATGAAGAGGAGGTTGATGAGGATGCTGTCGATGATGATGATGGTCATGGTGATGAAGATGGTGTCCCGAAGATGATGATGTTGTTGATGATGAACATGATGGTGTCCCGATGATGATGAGGATAATGATGAGGTGATGGTGATAGCCCTATGGTGATGATGCTGATGTTGATGAGGTCCATGCTGGTGGTGATGATGGTGTCCCGATGATGATGATGTTGGTAGTGCTGATGTTGCTGATGATGATGGTGTCCCGATGATGATGATGATGCTGATGATCCTGAGGATGTTGATGATGGTGGGATGATGAGATGACGATGATGATGAAGATGATGATGATGATGGTGTCACGATGACAACGGTGAGGTTGATGATGATGCTACCGATGATGATGATGGTGATGATGATGATGGTGTCCCACTGATGATAAAGCTGATGGTGATGATGACGATGATGGTGTTCGATGATGGTGTTCGATGATGTTGATGCTGATGATGAGGACGATGATGAGGTGATGATGAGTATGATGATGGTGGCCCGATGATGATGACGATGCCGATGTTGATGATGATAACGGTGTCCCGATGGTGATTATGATGTTGGTGATGCTGATGGTAACGATGATGGTGGTGACCCGGTGATGCTGATGTTGATGAAGTTGATGATGAAGATGATGATTGTCCCGATGATGATGATGTTGACGATGTTGTTCATGATGATGCGATGATGATGATGATGATGATGATGGTGGTGGTGCTCCGATGGTGATGATGGTCCCGGTGATGATGATGATGTTGATGTTGATAGTGAAGATTCTGGTGTCCCGATGATGATGATAAAGGTGGTGTGATGATGGTGTTAATGATGATGGTGGTGAGGTGATGATTATGATGGGATCGCAAAGATGATGATGATGATGACGTTGACGACGATGATGTCGATGATGGAAATGATGATGACGTTGATTGCGAGATCGATTGTAATATCTTGAGTGGTATCGATAGTGAGACCGAATGTGAGATAGATTGCGAAATCGGTCGTGGTGAAATCGATAGTGAGATCGATTGTGAGATCGATAGTC